TGGCTTGGGTGATCATGGACCTCCACTTCACTCTGCCTTGCGTTGCAGCGATGGTGTCTGTCGTTCTTGTTGTTCCTAACCATGTTGTCAACCCGTCCAGTATCTTTTCCCTCTGTCTGCCTCAGCCTCTGCCTCTCTTTCCATCAAACTTGCCTGTTGTTACTATACATTATGTCACAAGGCGGTGGAATCAGGCGCTCGTCAAATTTTGGGCATGTGGAGTTATTTATATCCTGTTAAAGTTTGTTCGTTTGTCTATCTTTCCATGAAAAAATACCCATGTATCATGGATAGAAGTTGAGATAGTTGCGATTGAACGAGGTGGGGTCATCGGGTTTCAGAGGAAAAGTTAGCGAGGAAATGGCGACAAACGTTTGGTAATTTCCATAGCTTGAGAGTCCTTAAAAACTGAAAATTTACACTTTTGTGCCTTTAATCAACGTTTTTCAGTAAACTCCACAAAGAAATATGTTTTTAAATGGACATAAAAGGTGTTGAGACAAAAAACAAAAATTCGACAAAAATTGCCAAACCAGCGGGAAATGCCGATAGGCTATCTTCCATTTCATTATTGTGACGAGCGCCCGATTTCACCACAACGCTTCGCTTAAATTATATTAATTATTATTATATTTCCTTCACTTTTCACAAATTCTTTCATCTCTCTCACACTCAGGTGTTCGTCAACAACAGCTTCTTCTGTGACTTCAACCACCGGGTGCCCAAAGAAATGGTGCGCTATGTCTTTGTCACAGGAGACACCAGCCTCTCCAGGGTCTCCTTCGCTGACCAGGTGAGTTAGGTGGTTGGGGTTCAAGCCCGTTCATCAACCTGTCTAGAATCGTACTGGGATCTTAAAAGGCTTCTGTATCACTCATTCCCTCACTTACTCTGGGTCTTTCAGACTTTCTCTCTCTCTCTCTCTCTCTCTCTCTCTCTCTCTCTCTCTCTCTCTCTCTCTCTCTCTCTCTCTCTCTCTCTCTATCTCTCTCATGCTCTTTTTCTATATATC